CATCCGCCATCAAAGCTGTGACTGGAACGTTCTCTTATCGTCCTTATCTCCACAGTTCTATGAATACGCGGCCATGATGCTCATGCCGCGGACCCAGCCCTCTACATCAACGTGTCGAGAAATCATGGTTGCCGTTTTGATGGGGGATGACAGGTAAGCAGGGGGGCCCAAGTCGCGCTTTTTTAGGGTTGATTGCTCACTATCGGAAGGCAACCAAGGAAATGGCATGTCACAGGATCCCTCCAGCCCTTCACAAACCTGGCTTCTCCTCAGCAAACGCATTGGTGCGGCAGGCTGATACCGGCACGGAGACCCACCGAAACCGGTCACGTTCTATTCACGGCCCGCTGCCCGACTTTAAATGTGGGCTGTGATTCAGGCCTCATGGGATGGCAGCGGTTATATGGTCTTGATGGAGTTCGTCCGCCCTCGTCAAATCTAAGTCATGACGCATTCTATACGTAGTCAGGAAACAGCTGACTGTGAAGGTCGAGACAAGATCCGCAAGTCAACTAGAGCTATCTACATTGTTAGTTGCCGCAGTGCCAGAACGATGACGAGCCTCCCTGGATTTGTTTTCCTATTCTACATTATCTCGGGCGCTTCCGAATGAGAATAGGGAAGCAGAGGCCTGAGAACTGCATTTGATGAGTGTGCTGCATGACAATCTCGCAGCGGTTCATGCACTGTGGCGATTCCATTTCCAAGGCTGAGGTATGGGATTCGAACGGATGACTCTGCCGAAGCGAATGGCAATAATCAAAGCCCCCCCCCACACCTCACCGAAAGATTGTCGGAATTTGACTGTCCATTATCCAACTCGCAGCACGATACGAGGCTGGTTTGGGCACTTGAGTCAAACACGCCACCTCAAGGCGTCATGTAAGGTACGCCAGTCGCTTCAGTAAGCGTGAGAGGGCAATCAAAAACTTGTTCCCCGCCCAGTCTAGCGAAGAACTGTCTTGCAAGTTCCTTGGTTACCATACATTAATGGCCTCGAGGCCGCGCACCGGTCAAGCGACGGTGGTCTTTTACTCTGGGGCGTCGGCACGTTCGGTTGGCACTATGGTGGGCGAGGTAGTCATCTGCCTAGCTCGACACCCAACCAATTCGCGTGGTGGTTGCCATTTTGTCTCAGCTTATTCATATGAGCCGCCGTAGTCGCGCACCAAACGACACCCACCCGGAGGAACGCGAAGCTTGCAAAATGGTGGTTTTCTTACAGCCCATGCGGAATAACGATGGGACCAATACGGACCCCAGCCCTGGCCTCAGCTTACCACCACTTCTGGGCACGCACCTCTTCTTCTGGCAACATACTGGCCATTTGGAAACCTGCATTGCTCTTCCAGTCGGTCTTGGGGGTTGAAGAGTCACGCTCTCATAGGCTTCCTCCACGTGGGGGGGTTGATGGTGGCTGGCTGCCCCGCGATTTTGAGACCTCAGCACCGGGCCATGGGCGCTGGTGACCACCTTCTTGCAACCATGCAAGGCAACCCTTGGGACGTCGACATGATTCAGCCGTGCCGCCAACCAGTCGTCTGAAATCCTTGTGTGTGTGTGTATGTGTGTGGTGGAGGGCAGTGTCGGATAACCTCCGCTTTCATACCATCTGCCTGCTGAGGCTGTGATACGGCTATATAAGTCCGACTCCACCACTTCACCTGCGATTTACTCTCCACCTCGGTCTGTTATGCCTTGCAGCATTTTACCAGTGCTGAATTCAAAAGAAACTCTCCCTATTCTTGCCTCTTTCGTTTGGTACTACTTTTGAGCCGGCCAGGCCGGCGGGGGCTTTACACGTCTTGTCAGTGATTGCTGTGCAGGCGCATTTCCAAAGCTACCAATATCAGAACGGTCTGTACTGTTTCTTCGACATAACGGCGAGATGCCTCAATCACCAATGTCTCCCTCATGGCGGGACTCTTGGCCACCCACTCTGGTGCGCCTCGCCCCAACGACCCCAAAGGAGTATCCCTCGCTCGACGATATCGATGAGGACCCGCTCACCTATTTCTTGACGCCCGCACCCGATCTCGAGGATGAGGACGAGGACGCCAATATGATGGACTTTGACGCCGGGATCGAAGACAACAGCCCGCGCGAGATCGTACGCAGCGTGAGCCCGTCGGCCTTGGATGGGCTGAACAAGGCCAAGGGCGGCCGCAAATCACCTCCGGTACCCGATCTCTCCGACCTTGCCACACCTGATACGGACGAGGAAGAGGAGGACTACATTCGCTTTGCACCGCAGGGCTTCATGGTTCCATTAAGTCTGCGCGACTTAGCCGTCGACGGCGTAAAGTCCAAAGTACGACCCAGGCCTTCGGGGGCGCTTCTGTCGCCTTCGTCATTCCCGGCAGGCCGGGGCAAGGCTCCTGTGCGGCCCGGGGGGCGAGGCCGCCAACGGAGCGTCTCGTTCCGGCATCAACGGCCGCAGCACGTTTGGCGTGAGCCCAGCCCAGACGTGTGGTCAATCGAGGAGGAGACGGAGGAGGAGCTCGTGAGCGAAATGGGCAGCAGCATCGGCGCCATGAGTGACGTTGGGGACGCAGAGGATGTGGCGGAGACGCGCATGAACAAAGACGTAGAGGCTGCGAAGCCAAAGAAGAAAGTCCGGTTCTTGTTGCCGGCGATGGAGTGAGCGACAAGCACCAACGTGGCATTATACGGCGTTTTGGGATTTGTTCCATTTGCATTGGGAGCTCCATTTGCTCTTCTAACGGTAGGCGCTGTTCCCTCGGGGAGGAAGGGCGTCTTGGTAGTGCATCTTGGCAGGGCACATGGACACACAGCCGCATGGGATGGAGTTTGCATAATACCTGTCCACTTTGGATGGTAATCTTGGGGGCAATCTTTTCCCTTCACTTGTTTTTTTTATCTGCTTTTCGCGCGCATACACACAGACAGAGAAGGATTTTAGGGGCATAATGGAGCAATCCAATTCGAGCAAGTTAAACCCTGATCTACTTGGCTTGTGGTGTGTTGCTGTGAGGTTAGTGAATAAATGATGAAAGCGACGAGCAATTACAGTCCAGTGAAGGGTAGGAGGAGGCAGGAAGAGGCGGGGCCAGTATAGTGGGTGCGCGAGAATGAAGGCTGCGATACTGCGAGATCTCGATCGCAGCTCACGCGATGCAGCCTTTGCCATCAAGCAGCCCTGCGGAGGAGGGGCAGTTCACTCACGTGCAGGGGACTCGTGAGGAAACCCGTGATGTGACAATATTGGCGCTGCGGCATCCGAGACATTTTTGTGTGCGGATTGGCCGGTGGCGATAATGGACGAAACAGCGCTGGGTGAAGACTTTGTTTTGGTTACCAAGATGTGTGTTATGAAGTCAACATCGGCGGAGAATTTCGTCCTTGCATCGTGCCATATATCGGCCCGTATTATATATGGCGAGTTGGCGAGTGAACAGCTCGTTGCAGGCCCATGCTGATAAGGCGGCCATCGATTCATCGAGCCGCTTCCATGCAAGGCGACAAGGTGGGTATGGGGCACATACTACGCATGCATACGGATACTGCGTATGGTAACAAAACTTGAATCAAGGATGGCCGCTGTTACGTTGCCAACAAAATCGACCGAGGAGATTGCGCCTGTGTAAGTGAGACATGCACGCAGCAGGATGAGCTGGCCTTCTTATGCCCGTCGTCTGCATTTCGCGGCGGCCGTCGCGAAGAAGTGCTCTCTGCATCCTGGGATGTCGATCATAGGCTCGCCGAAAGAGATCCGATCTATCCAAGATACTGGCAGAAGCGAGACTACCTACCGGTAGATACCTGGGCGAGGAGGATAAAGCCCGAAGCGACTACATATCACAAGTCCGTGGTGGGAAATGATGACCGGCTGGACTCCAATCCGCTACGGGTACTTGGAGATCAGAGAAGATCAGGGAACAACAAGAGCGAGTGACAGATTTCGCTAGCGTATTCATACGCTTCTTGGGAGAGATACACGACCGAGCAGGGAAGCTGTGGCGAGGATCCTTGTACTGATCCTACCCACCCACGTCCCCAAGCTTTTTTTTTTTTTTTTTTACCTTTCTCCCTTTCCTTCCTTCTCTCTGACTACCCTTCGTAACGTACCTACCATCTACCTAGGAACCTACCTAGTAGGTACCTACAGGTAAGAGCGTTAATCCATGGCACAGACATCCCAGTTCCTGACCAATCAGAATTATCAAACGTGCCTGATGGCAGGCATAGACGGGCTACTGCAGTATTACCGGGGAGCTAAGTATCTTTTTGATTTAGCGTACTTCACCCAGGATATAGGTACATAGGCAGGTATCTGGATAGGAAGATACTAGTGTACAAATAAACTAGGTAGCTACCTGATAATTAGCGTCCCCGTCCCCGCCAGCATGCATCGTCGTCCCAAGGTAAGGTACTGACGGCCCCACCACTTTCGGTTTGTTTACGTCTAAGCTTCTGGCGTCAACATCCGCTGGTTACTCCGGCAGTGCCAACTCAACGGCGCCCTACATTGGACAAATCCGCTTCAAGCCTGGGTTCGACGAGAAAGCCCGATGCCTTTCTGATACGAGACAAGACAAGACAATACACCACATCCGGGCACCTCACATTTTTTGCCGCTTCTGTCTCTGTCCACACAGCGGCATTGTCTACCGGCCTGCTCTTTTTGTACTCATGCCCATGCATCGAAGTTGGCTTCTTGATCCGACCCGATCTCACCGACAGCCTTGCCGTCGCTCTTTTGACGCTGAAACTTGCACTCACTTGTAGCTCCAATTGCCCCCTCTCGCTTACGTACGACTTGCCTCTCGACTTCGCCTTCATGAGCTGCTAGAAACACACCAAACAGTCTATCTAGCCTTGCGCGGCAGCATGCAGCTCACCTAAGTCAGTCATTCCTCGTCATCTTTACCCAGAGGAAGAAGAGGGGCATATACATACCTACCTGTACGACGACGAGACTCTTTCATGCCCCCGCTTTTACGCAGACCACGACTGTGACTGACAGCGGACTCTAGACCATGGCTTCCAAACCTCCCGACGAGAAAGAATCGCCAAACACTACGACAGCAGCAGGAACCAAACCCCCTATTAAACCCGTTTCCAAAGGAGTTAATGACCCGACAACGCCCAAAAAGGCTGGTACTCCTGCTGCGGATGCGCCGGCGGCGACAACACCCAAGAGCGCGCCTGCCCGTCCTCGAGCAGCAACCATGAAGAAGCCACCCGAACCCCCAACATTGCTCGCCGACTTCCTAAGGGGGCGCCCGTCTCCACAGCGCATCGCCGCCGAACGAAAACGAAGGATGAGTCTGGACGCAGTCAAGGCCGAGATGAGGGCCGAGATGCGTGAGGCCGCTGTATCAAAGGTACAACAGCCCGGTGGTGTCAGGGACCGCGTCCAGAAATGGCAAAAGGCCAACGCCGCACTCATGGTGACCGGTGATCCCCTTGCCACTCCAAGCGAGCCCACAGAGATTGCATTTCCGGGCGAGACGGAAAGTGTTACAGAGGAGGACCGCGTCCGGATCAAGCTGCGACAGAAGAGAAAGTCGGCGCCGAAGATTGAGGTGCATAATGAGGCCATGGCCGACGAAAAGGACGAGACGGTGGAGGAATTGCCCGGAGGCCAGACTAAACAGGCACCCAAAAAGCGTGTTGTTAGCGACGACCACTGGATGGCCCAGAAGAAAAAGAAGAGCCCTCCAAGGTCCAAATCACCAAGAGCAAAAGATGCGGCGAGCCCGGGCCCAAGTCCGTTACCCAAAGGCTTTGTACAAAAGACGCCAATCCAGGCGCCTATCGCCAAAAAGATCCAGGATTGGGTGGCCAAGGTCGAGCTGCCAGAACCGCCGCCGAGTATTAAGCATGCAGCGTCAAAATCGACCGACTCTCTTGATGGCAGTAGGATACAGGCGAGGCTCAAGGAGCTTCAGGAGAAGCAAGCAACCTTACCGAAAAAAAGACTCGACGACGACGGCATCAGAGTTACCCCTATACGAACGAAGAGACTCGACGACGATGGTATTCGCGTTAGACCTATCAAGACGCCAGCGTCGGAAGGGTCGAGTCTGAAGGCACCGAGGCCATATAACACAGGAGCCAGGTCTCGTGACCGTAGTCTCGGCGCTAGCTCAAGGCAAGATTCGTCTGACCATATTGTGGTGGTTGAAGAAGATGAGTCCGACCACATCGAGGTCATTGAAGACACCGCATCGAGTCTTCCCACAACGCCAACGCGAAAGCCATCAAAATCACACAAGGCGAGTCGCAAGAAGAACGTACCGCCCCGTACGGAAACGACGGACGAAAAGTCCTGGGTCAGCAGCTCAGAGTCTGCCGTCAAGACAGGGCTGGTTGACTCGGAGCTTGCCCCCAGCTCACTTACAAGCGCACCTGGGGCGAAGCCATTGGCAGACATTCCTGTTGGGTTCTCTGCCTTTAGTGAGCTAGATCTTCCTCTCGACCGAAGCAAAACGAGGAAGAAGACCCAGCATAACCCAAGCTTCAAGGCTGCCGATGTGTTCAAGAAGGTTGTCACCGAAGGCAAAAAGATATTGCACGATGCTGTCGAAACCCCCAAGCAACCCGTCGCTAATAATCCTCCGAGCATTGAGAAATGGCTCAACGGTACGGTCGATCCCTTTGTCGACGAGTCCACCAAAAAGAGGGAGGCACCGGCCCCGAGGAGAGAGCCGTCTGAGGGCAAGTCTCTTCAGAAGGCAAAATCGCAAGACACCCGTAGACAATCATCTGTTGAGCCTCGCCAGAGGAAGCCCTCTCCTCCAACCCAGACAGAGCTATCCGAGTCCACGGGGCTCACGGAGTCCACGCAAACAACCGACATGACGCAAACAACTGATACGACGCAAACCACACAGTCAACAGATTGGACAGAATCGACTTTCACTGAAACGGACTTGAGTGCATCTACCGGGAACGATGAGAACACGACACCAAGGCGTGTAGAAGAGAAGCCCAAAGAAAAGCCAAAGACGCCGACATCCGCTGGCTCCGGCTCTGCCGGCTTGCGCAGAAGAGCGGCGACGCGAAGTTCGCCTTCACCCTTGAAATCAGTCAAGAAGCCATTCCGCGAGATTCTAAAGGAGGCGTTTAGAGGAGAATCCAGCGGTCACCAGACTCCTCCGTCCAAGTATATCAGCGAAGAGGAGCGGCGCCTGGAGCAAGAATACGATAGCTATGAAGAGGACGATGAACCCAAACGCGCCATGCGTCGCCGCTCTTCTGGCTCCAGCCAGTCCTACTCCGATCGAACTTTCACTGACGACTGGACGTATTCTGACGAGTCCTCCATACGTGAGGATCGAACACCGCGTCGCAAGCCGCCTACAAATGGTGTCCATGAACTTTCTACCATTCTGGGGTCCGCCGACACCCAAAGCGTCTATTCCGACATGACCTCAGAAGTGTCCGAGACTACAATTACACAAACTACTGGCCTTACGAGGAGCAATGTTTCGCGTCGAAGCAGCAAAGCAGGTCTCAAAAGAAGACTGACCAAGCACTCCGATCTCGTTTCGGTTCTGTCTCTGCCCGACGACGATCAGGTACCCGGCACCCTAAGAAGTATCAAACCCCGGCCGAGTGTGAGGAAAGCGGCCAGTGTAAGGAAAGCTACCACCCGCCCAGACACGGTGACGACCAAGGATCTCCTAAGGGAGTTCGCAGATGACGAGAATCTATACCAGCGTGAGCTCAAGACGCTGGTTGACGGCGTCATCCCTGTACTTTTGTCCACTGTTCTTCAGGAGGGCTCGACGAGCGCTGTTGACCTCTTCGGTCCCGAGTCTCCCAGCCGTAAAGCAAACAGCATTTCGAAATCCGTTGTCAACATGGGTGTCGCCCTAGAGAAGCTGAAGACGGCACATAAGAGGGCATCTCACACGGATATTGACCGGCTGATTGCCTGGCTGCATACTGCGTCCCCCATTTACGATGCCTATATGGACGCATGGCGCCTCGGCTTCCAGGACCTCATCGTCAATCTGGCCCCCGCGGCCGACCGCCTCGACGACGAGGACTCGCTCATCAACGCCCTCCCACGCAACGCTGAAGGCGACGTCGTTAATGAAGACGGAGAACGAGTTGATGTCGCACACCTGTTGAAACGGCCGCTGCTTCGCCTTAGGACTCTTGCGAAGTTCACCAAAGTAAGTCCATCGCAAGTATTGAAGAATCAAGCTGACGGCCATAGGGTCTCCACGCCGCTATTGGGTCCTACGATACTCTTGCGTTGGTTGGTGACTACAATGCCCTGCAAGAGAAGGTCCGCCGTCGACACAGAGAAGAGTCTGCTAGGTTAGCTGACGAGGACGCCATTAACACGGACACGACTAGAATTCGTGATCTTCGAACCCTCGCGCCGATGGAATCTGTCAAGATCGATCCCAAGCGACAGGTCAGTGCGAAAGACCTCTTCTCGCTCAGCCTGACACACTCCAATGGGCAAAGACTCGAGTGCCAGGTCGAGCTTGTTCACCGCGATCTTCCCGGAGCAGACAATGATAAGGGTGATTTGCTCATTCGCGAGACTGGCAGCGGCCGCCGGACATGGCTATTATTCCCCCCTATGCCCATGTCTGTGATCTCAGGCCGTCGCGGTGAAGCAAGGTACGAGCTTGTCCTCATGGCACAGGGCACTCATAATGGCCGGCAGTGGTACGAGCTACTGAGCCTCGTCACGGACAACGATGATCAAGTGAACGACTGGCTCGACATTGTGGGGACCACGCCTGTTCCCCCCCAGGATCGTCTCCCTATTGTTACTGAGGAGAGCCTTCCCGAATCGCCGCAACACAGAATGGACATACCTGTCGGTGGCAAGCTTCATAGCTCTTCTTCAAGGGACATGTCCTCACCAGAGCCCATAACGCCAAGACGACCAACTCCCAGTCGCTACCACAACCGTGGTTCGAGCATGCCGACCACACCCGTCAACCGTAATCCCTCGCTCGAAAGAACACCAACTCAAGACTCATACAGCGATGGCGAGGGCAAACACAGGGCCGCGCCCAACACAACCCCCTTTCGTGAGGACGGTGCTCCGCCTCCCCCTATTCACCGCTCACTTGGTCCCAAACCTCCCAAGCTGCAGCCTCCTGTCGATATTCAGAGCCCTCGCGTGAAGCGGCGAGGGTCTTCCCCCTTGAAGCACGAGTATCTGCCGTCGGAAGAGTCATCTGACACATCTCGTTCCGTCACCGAGATTTCCGAAAGTGAGACAGAGACAGAGTCCGATTACACTTCATCTGAAGATGAGTTCGACGAAGACATACCTGAGACCGAGGTGGGCTTTAGCATTAGGGAGCCAGAGCCACAACCGGAACGGGAGCGTGAGCGCGAGCGCGAACGTAAACGCGAACATGAGCCCGAGCCGGAACCTCGGGATTTTGAAGACTCCTTTCAGCGAGAGTCGACGACCTCGCAGCCTTTTGTCCAGGATTCGATGGTCTCTGAGTCCGTGTGCAGCCTGACGCCATCCAATTCGGCGTCACAAGCCGGACTCCACGGCCGCAAGATGAGCGCGTCGGAGAGCTATACCAAATACATTGCTTCCGTTTCATACTGGAACGAGAAAAAGGGCCAGTGGAAGGATATTTCCCTTGAGCCTTGTTCCATTCAGGTTGCTGCCGGAGTAATTGAAGCATACTCTTTGGTCATGAGCCCTGGAGGGCAACCTGATGTTCCCCTCGTCTCCCTCGAGCTCACACCCCTCGTTCTCCTCCGACAGTCTACCGTCGTCGATCTTGAAATTCGCTCCGCCGTCAAGGACAACTGCAAGAACAGGGAGATTGGCGGCGGCAACTTCCGCTTTCGCTGTCCGTCGAGCACGGAATGCTTCAACCTCTACATGGCCGTCCACCACGCACGCCTCAATAACCAAAAGTTCATCCAGCTTGAGAACGAGGCGCGCTACAAGTCCTTCGGCGAGAGGCCCACTGAAGACCACGAAGATAACAGCAGCCAACGGCGTAGCTGGTTCGGCCGCAAGAACAGTTACCGCGCGTCTACGCGCGCCCCCTCTCAGTCTCATGACGGCAGCACTCCGTCGTCGAGCCTTTCCGCCACCAGCTTCCTCAAGCGACTTACGGGCGCCGGCACGTTCAATATTGCGCGCTCGTCTATCGATAAACAGGGACACTTCTCCAACACTAATAGTCTCTACACATCCGGTTCTTCGTCCGAAGGCTATCCCCGCTCGCCATCGATCAGCATCTATTCCAACTCCATTCGTAGTCCTCTGTCATCTGACAACATCAAAATCCGGCTGCATTTGCTCGTTACCTCGACTAAGTGGGAGGACTACGGCAACTGCCTGCTACAGATCCGCCGACCGCCGCCGGGCTGGCACCAAGAGCTGCGCGCGAATCATGGTCTGGAGAAGCGTGTCACCGTCACTACCATGCCCAAAAAATCAGACAAACCACGCATCGTGCTCGACGCCGTGTTGGGCAGCGGCTGCTTCACACCTATGGGCAGCAGAGGCATCGTTTGCGGTATTTGGGAGGAGATCCGCGACGAAAGGGGCGAGATCGGCGTGGCACCCAAGACTGGTGGTGCCTCGGGCTCGGTCAAAAAGTGGTGTTTCCAGTGTGCCAGCGTCTCCGAGGCCTCGTGGGTCTTGAGGCTCGTTCACCAGGAGGTGGGTGTCGAACTCCGGGAATGAAGACGGTTTTCTTTTCTGTCTATAGCATCATTGCCTCATTCTTTTCCTATTTTGTTTTTCCTTCTTTTGTTTTCATCATGATTCCCCCACGAGCGTCGGTTCGCTTTCGTGCATTGCTAGGCCTGGCTTGGGCGTCTGGCTTCAGGATGGTGGCACAGCGTGATTGTCCCGTCTTTTTGGTGTTCAGAGGAAGATGATCGGCTGGATTTCGCCGGAGGGTTATTTATATACACTTATGGTTAGGACCAAGGGGCTTAGAGGGGCAGGCTGGTTTTGTTTTTTCAGGGCATTCTTATATGATACCGAAGTTTTTCGCGGGTAGGCATGCTGGGATAGCGTGTACGTGTATGTAAGGGATACGTGTAAAGAATCAATGGTTACGACTCGCTTTCGTTGTGAAGGTTTTCGGTCCTCCAAACCATCCCGGTGCTCACATTCATATTGATATTGTTAATCTATGCACATCAAATCCCCAACCATTAGATTTGAGACTCAAGGGTAGGCAATGCAACCGTCAGCGAGCTCATGGCTACCTATCTTATGCCTTCTACTAATGATACCCCCCGGTTGAGTTGACGGCACCGGCGTCACTATATCTCAGCCATCCTAATGTCTCTGGGCCGCTCTTGATTCTGGTTTTCATCTACTCAGCTAAGTTATGAGAGTGTCGGATTGGTTGCACCATTGGCGTAATTACGATACTGCCTCGGTTAATCGGGTTTGGTACCAGCATTATCAGAATGTGCTTGGCCGATGACAGGATGCCCTGTTCGTGCTTTCGGTATAAGATGATGGTGTGTGTGGCATGTTCCCATTTTCGTGAGAATCAAGTGTCCCGGACCTTGCGCCCTGCCGCTTGCATGGTACCACTGTTGAAAGCCAAGAGGGTCAAGTTTAAACTTGCCCGTGTCTCCTCATCGCTGAAGATATAATTCTGTGCGAGCCTGCAAACCAGTAAAGGCGTTTGGGGGCGGCAGCGGGAGCCTGAAGCAAGACGATGAATCAGTATACTGACAATCGGGTCGAACCTCCCAAGCCGCACGAGCCTCATGCTCGGCATAGCCGACATTTGGGCCGGAGTTTCGACGGCTAACGACCTTCGCGGGCTCCTTTTAGCGTCCACGACACAAGGCAAGTCATCCCGGTGCGGCAATGTAATCGTGTTGCAAAAGCCTTGGGAGATTTGAATATGGTCTTAATTGGTCAAAGACCCTCGCCCGCGCATCCATGGTATCATTTAACCTGTTCAACCGATCATCTCCTCATCGTTGTCACCGCCGCCACCCATCTTCCGTCTCAGCCTCACTGCGTCCTCATCCCTCTTCCTCCGCTCAAGGCCCTCCTTGATCCACGCCTCGTACGCTTCATCTCCACTCTCGACCTTCTGCGCCACAACACCCTTGAGCACCTCGCCCGCAAAGCCGACAAAGTTGTGGCGGCGCAGGGCATTCTCGAACCGCCAGTTGCGGCGCTTCTCGTTCTCGCGCTCAAGTGTCTCGGCGTCACCAATTTCCTTGGCAGCAATTCTAGGGTCGCGCACCATGGCGAGCACGTTGAACCGAATTTCGGAGCTGGCGTACGTGAGCATACGGTCCTGTAGCACTTGCGTCACCTTGTTCGGGAACTCTTCGGTCGTGCAGACGCCGTGCGAGATGGGCGCAGGCTGCAGTCCGTCTAGTTCGTAGAGCTTGCCATCAATGGGCGTGTAGGCAATGAAGTGGAAAGCGTCCTCGGCCTCGCCCGTCTTCTGCGTCTCGTCGACGAAGGGGCTGCTTTTGGCAAAGCTGTTGTGCACTTCGCGGATCAGGTCCGAGTTGCTGAGAGCTTCGCCACGGAATTCGGGCGGCAGAACCATTGTGAACTCGCGGAACTCTGAGAGCTTTTCGCCAATATCCACCTCTTCGGGCTTATTGAGAACGACACTCAGGAGCGCTTGCGTACCGCACGCATTCTGGATCGTCTGTTGGGCGAAGAAAAGACGTTCGGCAGCATCACGGTCGTAGGATTCTTGCGATCGCGCAGGGAGGCCCTCGGAGGGATATCGAAAGAGGAAGATGATGCCGTATATGGGCTGCAGCGGGGCTAGCTCGTCGGGGGAGAGAGTCAGTAGCTCCTCAAACTGCACGCCCTTGACACCAAGATTCTCAAGCAGATATGTGAAGACGCCCTAAGCGCTTGATTAGCTTAGCAATCGCCGGGGTAGGGGAATAGCATACTGCATCGGACTCGACTATGAGAGTTAGCGGAGGTTAGCGATGGGGTGTCGGGGGATGCGTACTGGTATTCCATCCACCACTCATTATGGATGCGGGGGAGATGGCTTGTGATGAAGATACGGGCAATTAATTGGCCGTAGCAATGCCGTACTCACGCTCAGTGTAGCGACCACTCTAGTGGTCGAGGTCGCAGTCAAATCGGAGTTCGCAGTTCACAAAGGATTGGTAGTTAGCTGAGAGGTTGGAGCTTCAATGTCTGGAAGCGAAATGTCTGGCTGTTGACGCAAGGTCGAAGCTGTTGTGGGTCGTGGTCGGGCGGGACCAGGGTCAAAGATTCGCCGGGGCACAACTCACGCTAGACACCCTGCACCAACCATCACTTTAACCACCTACACATTAATGCGGGTTCAAGGTTCGTTGCGCATTACTATCTATGTACAACCATTGACAGCTAATTGAAGTCATATCGCCAGTATTTCTGGCACAAAAGTCCACGCAAAATTGTTCAATCCTCCTGGAATACAAATGAAGAGCCTGGCCTCATCGAGTATATTCACTGCACAGAGCGCGGCGTCGCCGCACGCTGTGGAATCGTCACCATGTGAACGCCCTCCTCCTTTTGGTGCGTTGAACCTATACGTGAACCCGGAGCATAAGTGCTCTCGTGGTCGTCATGGATATGAAATTGGCGCTTGCTATCCTCGTCGCCGTTGCTGAAGCAGCTGGTGCGAACGGCACGGACGAACCAGGGCTTTTTGCCGGTGCTCCTCCATGACCAATACTCCTTTGCATCATACTCACGGGGCTCGAGCCTGCCTCCGGAGAGCCAAACAGTTAGAGCGATGAGGCCGTTGAGAACAGAGTACACAAACACTCCCCTGTGTTCATTAGCTTCGATTCAGATGGCATGACGGAAGAGACTTACGCAATCAGGCCGTAAGCGACGCTGTAGGAGAATGGGATGAAAGTCATGACAACGAAAGAGGGAAGGACGTCGCCAATGTACCGCCAGTTGATCTGGGTGATCTGACGGATCATCATGCAGCCGACCTATGGAGGTTAGAAAATGACAACCGGCACGGCCTTGGAGACTCACCAGTACGAGCGTGCAGCCAGTTGCCCAAGGCGGGATGGACGCGAATATGGGAGCGAAGAAGATTGACATTAGAAAGCAAATGCCGGTTGTCATGGACGTCAACCCCGTACGACCGCCCTCAGCGATGCCGGCGCCACTCTCGATAAACGCTGTGACGGGAGAGCATCCGAACAGGGATCCAATGGAGATGCATGCCGCATCGCAGCAGTAAGCAATGGTAGAGCGAGGGAAATCGCCATCTTTGGGGTCAACGACACCACAGAAACGAACCATCGAGTACATGGTGGCAGTGGCGTCAATGATGTCGACATAAAGAAATGTGAAGAGAGCAAGAGCAAACTGCGATCCGTTTTTGGCGACGTCCCAGTCGAGAACGTTGAGGGTGCGCTCGATTGGATGGAAGGTGACGACGTTCTTGAAGAAGTTGAAGCGGTTCTCGCCCTCCTCGTTATAGGGGAAGTAGGTGATGGAAGTGTTTCGTCTGAGATGTCAGCGGGGTCGGGCCTATAGCTTCGACGCACTTACGGCCATGACAAGATTGACACCAGGGCAATACCCATGATGAGTGCATATTTGACTCGGAACGACATCAAGTAGGCCGTGACAACGCCGCCGGCGAAGATGGCGGTCCACATCTTCGGGCTTGACATTATGCCACCAGCGCACATCTGGCTCTCAGGGTCAATCATCTCAACGGGGCATCCGGCAATGGCGAGTGGGGAAGACTTCCAACCTCCGGTGATGGCACCAATACCGGCGGAGTAAGAAAGCCCAATCTCCGTCAGGAAGAACCCAATACCGACTCCTGTCGCCGTCTTAATGGTCGCTGGTATGAGCTTGACTAGCCACTGCCGCATTCCGGTGAGAGCGAGAACGATGAAAATGAGGCCCTCAACGAAGACTGCCGTGAGTGCTACCCGGTACGGGATGGCGCCTGAGCCGTTGGGACCGACCACCTGGAAGGCAAAGTACGCGTTGAGGCCCATTCCGGGACTGCGTTGTTGTTAGCGCATTTGTTGGCCGGGTTTCGCAAAACAGACGACTTACGCAAGTGCCACTGGCAGGTTGGTAAAGAAGCCAAAGACGAAGCTGGAAAGCCCGGCAAGGGCGGCGGTCGCGGTGATCAAGTCTAGTCGAACACCTGGAAAATCAGCCTGGCTCGGAGCGAGGAGTCAGGCAACTCACTCTCTTTACATGCCGCATAGCTGGGAATGTTGTCGCAATCGGTTCGGTTCTCTAGATCGCATTCACAAGTGCCACCGGTTTGCGAGAGGATGATTGCCTGTGCCGGTCAGTGGGTTGTTCACGTAGCCAGAGACGCATACTCACATTCACGGCGATAATGTAGGCCATTGTCGCAAAAGTCGTGACACCTGCTCGGACTTCTCTGAAAAAGGTCGAGTCGGGTATCTCCTCAGGCTGGATAGGGTCAGCGAGACCAACGTTTGAAAAGGAGGAGAACTCACATGACCGCTCCCCTCGAGTCTGAATATGCGGCCAAAAGTGGATGAGGAGACTGTCTTATCGAAGCGATAGACAGCTTTCCACATGTTGGAGAATTTGCGGCCGATAGTCGATCTTTGCGCGAGGGACTCGGCGGGTTCCAGGCGCTCCATGTTGGAGTGAGTCGACATGTTGCTCATGATGGTAAGCGATGGAGGAAGGAAAGTCGGCGGGCCACCGTCGAGGCGACTCGTCGAGGTAGTGGGTGAGGAGTTGGTGGCACAAGACTCAGCACCAGGGAAGAAGGTTGAGATGTCTTAGACTCTTGTGCTAGGTACGACGAAAGATGGTTGGCGCAATCGACGAAAGGCAGAAGAGGGAAAGGGAAAGAATAAGGCACCGGAAGGGCAGAGTAGGTGTGTAGTCAGATGGGTATCAACAGAAGGAAGGAGATGGTGAGTTAGCCGACAGGCCTGGACTTCGTTAGGAATGGCCGATGAAAGAGGTGTGTCTTGGGAAGGAGAAGAAAGAGAAGGCAGCCGCACCGTTGGAGAAGGAAGTGAGTGAGCGTTGATGGAATACCTAATGAAGGGAGGAATAACCTGGAATTGGAAGGGGGTGGCAGTGGCAGAAAACGATTATGGCCTCTCACTCCAGCCCCAGTCGGTTGTTTGCAAAGCCCGCAACGCACTTTTACATCACCAACTGGAACATCTCCTGAACGACATTACCAGTAGTCCTTCACTTGAAGCAAGGTACAGCGCCTTGCCTTCAATGCTTTACCGCACCGAGAACACCCTGCCTTAGCTCTGCCGTCACCAGCAAAACTCCAGTGAAAGAGGGTGTGCTGTTCTTTCTTTTTCTCTGCAACGCCAATTGCATGTGGAGGTGGGGACGTGGCAGGTAGGTAGTCCATATCGTGAGCCAGCCAGGGAGGGACTTTGGTCGATACCACCTTGAGACTGAATGTAAAACTGCAGCCTCTGTACGCCACTGCTAGCTGCTCAGCCGATGGACGCATTCCTAGGAGGTCGACCAATGCTGACTTATAAAGGCACACATATACCGTCTACACTCTGCAGATTCGTCTACCGCTAATTCTCAGGCTAACGGCAAGGGGGAAAGTGGCCACTCACAGCGCTAAACCTATCATAGAAAGCGGTCAACCTTTCCACCCATCCTTCCACTTGCCCACTTGCCCTTTATTTACTGTTCTTACGCCTTAACTTCCTGCTGACGTAGATAACTAACCCCTGCTTTTGCTATCACCAGATCCCTGTTTCTGCCAGCACGCCAGCCCCTATTTGGTGGCCGCGATACTCCTTGCCGTTAGCCTGAGAATTAGCGGTAGACGAATCTGCAGAGTGTAGACGGTACGTTGAGTTATCATGGAGAGGATTGCATTGCAAGAGAGGGGCCCGGGCTACGTCCGTTTCCCAATGCCACGTAGCTCAAGAGGAGCGCAGGCCACCAAGTTGATAAGGACTTTTCAACGATGAGTTTGTTAGTTCGATTCCGTCCGGCGGATGAACTCCATCTGTGCGCAACGCCCCATAAAACTTCAGCCTAGCTGCCAGGTCAGGCGCACCTTAGCCTTGACGGTGGGCCGCTCGGACCGCCGACGACCCCGCCATCTTACTCTCTTATCTGTCAGCCGGTAACTACATATTATGGTCTTCCATGTCGGATGTCGTCGCCATAGCTTCGGTATTGCAAAGCACACGTCGGTCTCTACGATGACCTTGGATTTCAGCGGCCATGTTATTTCTTTCTGCGCGCTCTATGACGCCTCCAATCTGCCCAAGCCATAGTCAATGGCATCATCCACCATCCCTTTCAATGTTGGTAGCTGGCCTCTCCCATTAATCCAATCGGAAACCATGAAGGCAACAGGAAATGCGGCAACAGTTCAATCTCGAGCGTGCAGGTCGCCGCTCTAGCGTCGTACTGAGCAAGCGAGACATGTCTCGAAGCTCCTTGATAGGACCGCCAAGGTCGGCCAACGGAACTTTGCATTGTATGCGGGATATTCGTCGTCTACCCGAGCTTGAGCTTGTGACACAGTCCTGCTCTCGCGTCGGCCCCTTCCTGACCATTGTCTTGATGTGTGTCATTGCAGGTGGCCTTGTCTGTCCTACAGCCGTCATCAGTCTCTTGACTGGCTAGCTTCCCAAGACTCAGGACTTAACGCACGTCGTACCTTGCTTGTGCATCATGCATTGCTTACAAAACGCCGCTATTTTCATTGCCCACTCCTTGTATCGCTCAAGACCCACGGTGACTTTAACATCGGCTCGTGGACTATCCGTAGTCCGTTCTGGTCAACCCGCGTGGCTCAAACCGTACCCATATATGGCGTCGTGCTCTAATAGAATGAAGATTGGTGCTCGCTCCACTAGACCGTTAGGGACGTTGGTCGACGCCTTGGCATGATTGTGGCCAAGCTCACGCGCATTTTCAAGCTGGTAACAGGAGTAGGAAGGTTGCTCCAGGACAGAATCAGGCCAGAATCAGAGGCATCCTGGTACAAGATGGGTTACAGCTACAACGACACGATGGCTAGAATAGAGGAGGGGGTCTTTGTAGACCTCGATGGCTTGGCATCTGTTAGAAAAAGAAACGAGCAGCATGCTCGTTCTATGTTGTAGTTGAGCGAAGGCGTCCAAACAGGCTAGGTCAGCCGCAACAAAGTACCTGCCAGGGAACCAAGGCGTTGGCGAAGGCTGGCATGGACTGCTCGGCGGCTTCTGTGGGCTTAGCCGAACGATACATCGCAGCGTTGTGACTGGCCCCTCCCCAATTAGTGCATGTACTTACGGCCGGGAGAACGTGCGTCCCCCCTGACACGGGCCCATTCGTGATGCCGTTACTGTGGGATACTGAGACCTGGCCACTCACAGCTCATGGACCGCCTACCCCTCCCAGTTAGGGCGGACTCCCAGGATGCCAGGGGTGGCCTGCTTCGGGTCGTCTCCCTGCAGATCCGCCACCAAGAATCCAATCCAGATCGCTGGCCGCGTCAACCACATCCCAGTGCCTTTACGACCCTGCCTTTGCACTCCGTTCCCTTCCTCAACATCAACAGCTCGCACAGGACCCCGATGCTGCCACTTCGCCTTTCCAGCTGGCTGAAGGGGTGCCCCTTGCTATCTACCGACATGACCGAAACCAAGGCTGCTACGATTTTCCAAGTCCGACGTCCAACAAGCGGTCTGCCGGTTCGAGTCTATGCAATCCGCCATGAAACGGGTGTTGCGCGGGTTCATTTTGCCCGGAGTGCCCTCTCACGCATGGGTATACCCAGACGCACCCGACGGCTTCCTCCCGCGAAACGGTCCGCTGGGACCTACAGGAAGGTCAAACTGCAAGGTTGACAGCTAAAGACACGACGGCGTCTGTGGGAGCGAGATTCGGTGTGACGGACTCCTCGCCGATATTACTGCGATATTATAAATCGATAGGGGATTCGCTTAAGAATGAGAAGGCAGGTTGCAGCTGTCCGCCGTAGTGCGAGGGGACTTTTAACGGGAAAGACTGGGCAAACATGATGTCTTCGCTCGGTCGTATGGCTAGCTCAGCTGCTTCCGACATGAAGGGCATGCAACAACCGTACCCGGTTTTAAAAGACACGGCTGACAACCAGCCAGGCACAGCGCGACGCGAACGTGTCGATAATGAGCCCCACAGTTCAATGGCATGACATGGGCTTGCTCTGCCATGTGGGCAGAAACGCAAGCCCCGCGCCGGCTCATTTGCCGAAAGCTTCCACTCGCCGTTGAGTAGCGTGTTTTGCCGGGAAACGCACGTCCGGCGCGCACATGGGTAACTAGAAGAATGGATTGTACGTGTAGGACGAGCAAGACCATGTAAGTGAGCCTAGCCGCATTCAAGTACCTTTCTCTGTGCGGCGCGGCGCGCACAGCCCATTCTACCTGCATTCCACACGCCAGCCACTCGGCCAAGGGTAGAGATCCTGGCTTCGAACGTCCCTGGTATCGAGGGAGGCGGGACAATGGAATCCTGTTGTTGGGCGGTCAGGAACGTAACCCGTCGACGACTGTGAGCAGTCAATGAAGAAATAGTCCCTTCACTTCCCCCATGCCAGTGTGGCACGGCGTTGCGTACCGTTGATATCGGCTTACACACGTCCACCGCTGCTGTGCTCAGTGCAACTAAGTGTCCGAACGTACATTTCGCTTGTTGACCTCATTCTGTGTGGACTGTGGTGGGTTCATGATGGCCACCCAGCTGGTCCTCGTCTAGCGATTGAGGAATAAGCAATGCGAAGCGGGCGGATCAAGGCAAGCAAAACCACTGGCTGATCAGTGCCCAATAATTCTAAACCAGATGGGTGGGTGACTAGTGGCCGGCAAGGCGCCACAAATCACAGATGACTGCAGCGTGGATGGGTTAATCGGTGGCGTAAAGTTAGGGATAAAGGGGGCGGGCAATGGGGGCTAGAAGCACAGTTGTGTATAGCACGATTCAATATGTGGACGTACTGGGGAGTGCAGATTGAGAATGATGGAGCTGGATCTATAGTTTAGAAATGTGCGTCCTACTGCTACTCATGCATACTCTGGTCATCATCTAATTTCCAATGTCACGGTGCATGACCGGACGAACGCGCACGATCACACACTTTCTGGGTGTGGTTCATATCGGGAAGACGGTGATTATTCGCACCAAGACAATCTCCCGGTACTGGAAGCACCTCTGACGCAACCTTTCAAACCCTGCCCTGTTCCTCTTGTTCCTGTCTCTTTACCAAATGCTGGCTTGACGGATGGGAGGGCAAGTTAGTTACCGTTGCTCTGTTCCCGTGCGCCGCCCCAGACCTTGATCTGGGTTTGCCATTCATCACGTTGCATCTGCATATGCGCCTGTGCCGCGCATCGAATCGACTGTAGCTGCGACATAAGCACACAACAAAGAGGAACCTTCACGCTTACACACGTCAACTGCCAGTCATCTTCGTCCCACACCCTCGTCCTCGTCCTTGCATGCTGGCGACTCCTTCCGTCAGTCTTTCTTCGCCTTACAACTAGGCACCTGCCTCGATTGGCCCGGGTCTGGAGTGTTTCTCCTGATACACACTAGTGGTTTCCTCACCCAATACATCTCCTTCCTCCTGGGTTGTCGTACCTGCCTTTTCCCACTCGACCCTTTATCTATCAACAATTCCTGATCGTACCCCACCCCATCCGCCGACTGCAAATTCCCTTCGACTTTGTCCATTATTCTCTCCCTCCCGACAGTTCTCACAATATCGGGTGGGCTTTTTTGTTTTTTGTGTGCATCGCTCTGCTCGCCATCCAAAGTCCTCCTCAATGTTCTCGGGCTCCCGGTCATCACGGCTGTTTTACCTTGAACACCTGCGACTTCCTATCTCCGACAACGACTGTATTTTAATTTCATCCTCATCAACCTCGACGACGCCAGATATCGGGCAGCCTACGATCTTGGTTCTCTACAAGACCTGAGCCTTCACCAAAACAACCGTTTTCCGATCTTCGGGCATACGTCTTAAGATCAAGACATACTTGCAATCTCGCATCTAGATTTGCGGAGAAGGCAATCGCTCGTGTATATATAACATCCCTAACCCTACCGCATCTTCTTGATACCAATCATCACTCTTTACGACAACTATCTTCTCGGGACCGACGAACCACAGCCCACCATGTGGGAAGTTGTATGGACGGATCCCGATAGGGAGTCCAGGAAAGAACACCGCGAGCGGAAGGCAGTAGAGCGAGAATACAAGGACAAGTCCCGAGCGACTAGGGCTTCTGTGTCCACTCGGAGCTCCTCTTCATCTGATAACAAGCCATTCAGCTTCTTCGGATCCAAGGGTCTTAAGAGGACACTTACACCGTCAAGCGTCAAACCACCCATGAAAGCCACATTGAAATCCCCGAGCATCGACAGCACCTATAGAGGCTCGCTCTTGTCGGCCATCTCGGAACCACCGCCACTCCCTGAAGTGCTGCCTGGCAGTCCGGTCACGGCCGTGGATCGCACCGACCTGCCGGAACACTTAGCTGACTCTTTGCAAAGTTCGCCAATATCATCCAACAGAGGTATAAATACCCAACCCTACAGCCTTGCTGCAACTCACTGATATCCAGGTTTCATAGACTCAGTTTTCTCCAAATGGACAGACAACTCGTTGGCTGTGCCTGCATCTCTATGCGACATGTCCGTAAGCGAGTCGACGGCAGGAAAGCGGGAGAACTACGTCCAGAACCTTGGCCCGACCTCCTTCATTACAAAGAGCACCGAGATCACTATCTTGCCCCGGACGACTGAGAACGAAATCTCAGGGATGGTTTCGCGCGTTACTATCACAGCGGAACCTGTCAAGGAGGAGTCGCCGACACCTACTCGTTCGCCGGCAACGCAGTAAGTGAATTCGCCGAAACTCCAGGTAACATAACTAATAGAACACAGACGTGCAATTCCGACCTTGATTGATACACCCGTCAATCTGTTCCCAGGGCAGGTGAGCCCGAAGCAATCACTACGGCAGGTAGCTTCGTGGATGGCAGCGTTCAAGCCCAACAACCCAGACGCCTGGAAGCCTCCAGATGAGTGGGACTGCGGTCCGGCACTAGAAGCGCGAAGCCCTATGATTGAGAATGACATCGAAGAGGCACTAGAGGTTGACGATGAACTCGCCATGTCCATGGACCTCAACAGCATGCAGCGCGAGATTAGACGCATGGCCGCTGCAAGTCACAGCATCCGTCTTCTGCGCCTAAAAGAGGTCTGGGGCGACACCACCGATGCCAATCTCTATAAGGAACTCGAGATGGAGAAAAAGAGGTGGATGCTTTCGTCGTTACACAACATGGACAAGCAGGAGAATCAGAACCAGGAGGCCCATACTGATAAGATTACTCCGGCCAAGGCAAACAAGGTTCTAGCACTCTACGAGGCTCAAGGTCAGTGAAGACGAACTCATGATCATGTGATTGAACTGACATTTTCAGCGACTACCTCATACTTGGCAGCCCTCCACTTCAATAAACAAGTCTATCACCTGTCCTCTGCTCCTTTGTCTCATAATCTCTTCCCCAACATACACCCAGTTCTTGTGCCCGCAGTCTCGCCATCAGCCTTCCCAGTGGCACCGTCGCTGTTTGGTGTAGCCTACTCGCTGGCACTTCCGGCACTGTTGCCATCTGCCGAAGTCCCTGGGCTTCTCAAAAACGTCCACAGGTGTCTCGCAGTTGGGGGAGCCCTGCATCTGACGCTGATCGATCCCCTTCCGATTACAAACACTCTCGGCCCCCTTATGCGTTCGTGGATTGAGGAGAACCTTATTTTCAACCTTGAAAAGAACTTCCGCTGCATGAACCCTAGCAAACTGTTTCCGCTCTGGCTCGCAGATGCTTCTCTTCGTGGCGATGGCAGTACCATCACCACGGTAAGATTCTGCGCCATGCCACCCATCGACAGGCCGGACACGGCCACGAACGACGCCGAACAGCCTGCGGATAGGGCCGTTAAACAGGAGCTACGCACTATGGTCGGTCGAATGCTCTGGAGAGAAGTCTGGGGTCAGTTCATTACTGCCGACCAGTGGTGGTGGGAGCAGCCCGACATTGTTGCAGAGTGCGAGCAGCTCAAG